CAGCTATCACAAAGGCATGCTTACCTGGATGGTGACATAACTCAGAGTACCCAAGGGGACTGTCTATGACCCCGTGTTCAGATTGTTATAGTGCTTGAGGAGTTTACACTTGACAATTGGTTGGTGAAATCTAAGTATAGACCTCACAACCAATTTTGGGTTTGTGCCCTTGTTCCTAACAGTCTGTCCTGAGGTTGGTTCTCATGCTCTTGAGTCACTGCGGGCAGCATTATGTGGTCATTAAATAATTATTGTCTGTGTGACACTATACCTCAGGGGAGCCATGTGGGGTATCGTTGGAAAGGTTATGATCCACTGAAACCCACTATTGCATCTAAATATGTATTTCATTAATGCATATGAAGTTATGAGAATTTTGTTGTATGATTGTCACTAAAATATGCTGTGGGTTTGGGAAGTGCCCAGATACTAACTCCCCAAAGACAATAACCAGGGGGATAACCAATGCCTGGGCGGGTGTTAAACAACCATCAACAGCCATTGTCCAGCAAGGAAGTTACAATTCAATGACTCACTTCCACAAGGCTATACCAGGGGAAGCACTCAACCTTGCCTGGTGACTCAGCAATGCCCACCAGACTTGCCTAGACTTGTATTCTCCAGCACATGGACTAAGGGTATAAAACAGAACACAGTGGCCAGACGCTTGGCCTCTTCTCCTCTGCCTACCTAGGCTGCAAGCAACAAGGACACTGAGAAGACTGATGATTTCAACAGAGGAGACTGGCCTGGGTTTAAGAGACAAACCTGTATATTAAGATCCAATGGGGTGAGAACATTGCTTAATCTAAATCTGTCTAGTGTGATAAGAGTTAAGGTTGAGACTGCGTGCTTATATTTTCTTTTCTTTTGGTAACCATTCTGACTTTTTGCTTATCACTTACTATCTATCTTTTGTAATCAATAAACTCATTTTACTATTTATCTTTACCAGTGAGTTTGCCTGAAGTGCTTGGTAAATCTCTCAGGTTCACAAAGACTGGTATCAGACATGCCAAACCCGTGGAAAAAATGCAGAAATTGGACTTGGTTTTGGCTTAATTGGCTTGTGAGTTGCTTGTTAGCTAGTTTTTGCTTGTAGCTTGTTGCTTCTTTTTTTTTTTTTGATCAGCTCCTGGCAAGCAGGGGCATATGGGGGAGAGAATCAGGGGTGCACAGCAGGCCCCCACAGTCCCAGACTGCACACTGGAGGGATCTAGTCACATAGAGTGTTGGGGTTCTTAGGGACTGGATTGTTTTGGCCTTATTTTGAAATAGGATTAGCTTGATTTTTGGCTTATTGTGAAAGTCGGGGTGAAAGTTGGCAATTGTGGCTAGTGTATGTCCACTTTCCATTAATGAAACTTGTATTGCTCAAGAAGGGGTCTTAAACAGTGCAAGATGGTATATTCCTGAAGTACAAGGCTGGGGGGATATGGCTGGTGCCTTTCTCTGTGTGATTCATGGGTGGCTCTGGGAGCATTCATGCAATCTAGCTGGGCATGGGGTTCCACATGCTGTTGCGCTGAGTGATAACAGCGCCTGGAGGGGTTTGCTGCTTGTCACTAGCAGCAAAGCATTGTGAGAGACAGCCCAGGCTGGAGAGTTAAGGGGGCACAGCGGTCCCAGAGTTCCAGGTTGCACCCCAGGGATCCCGTCCCACTCTGACACCCCCCCCCCCAGTGTTTGACCTGCACCATAATTTCCCCAAACCATGAAAATTTAAATTGATAAAAATAAAAAGCTTAAAAATAAACACTGATATTAACCATCAAAATTATTTAAAAAATAAAAATTGAATTCTGCCAGTTAGGCCAGAACTCTACACACTATCATGGGTTGTATGAAAGCATGTGTCTTCACAGAAAAATGCAACTGATCAAAATATATACCAAGCTCGAGCAAATTTTAGACAATTTTCTGAAAGAGGTTTTGACTATATTATTTTTTATGTAGGACAGGTTAGCTTTAGTTTATATTTATTGGAGGAGGAAAAAAAATACTGGACCAGCAATATACATATGAACCTTTTTCTTTAAAACAAACAAACAAACAAAATTAAAGGTAGAGAAGGACCATATAAAAGATACGGCACTTACATATCAAAGTTAAAAATGGAGGAAATACTATTAATCTTAAAACAAAAACAAAACAAAACTGGTAGTTCCAGTGGTGTCTGTGGCATGCATAAGGAGCCTAAAAGTTACAAGTGGATTTTATCCAAGCTCTTAAAAGTGAGCTCATTGGGTCCTGACTCCAAATGACTAGTTTGGGGTTTGTTTGTTTTTCAGTAAAGTAAAGAAAAGGGGGAAAGAATGTTATTCCTAGTATGTTCTTTTAAAACAAGCACAAGCATTCATTTTTGGGGTCAGCTTGAGTCAGATATTACCCCCCAATTTCAGACTCAAAGTGGTTTGGCAAGAAAAGTCAATGGAAAAATTGCTCATAACGTCCGTGTTCCCATTAAATTCTACAGTCTGCTCTGCAAACCAATGGAATGTACATATAGTAAAAAAAAAAAAAAAAAAAAAACCAAATAGTGAAAAAGAAGCTCTAAGACATTATTATCCCTGGCCTATCCCAAGAGTGAAGCTTATAAAAAGAACCTTCTGGTTATGGCAGCTTCACGTCCACATCTGTGAATGGGATTTCTTTGCTATAGGAAAGACTTTGAAAATGAATGACTATTTGAGGACTTTCAGCTCCAGGTCAGTCTCCTGGCAGCCCTTCTCCTCAGGGCATAACCACAGAAAGAAGGGTGAATCCCATTTCAAACTACCAACCAGTGCTTTGTAAGGATGTTTTTTTGGGAAGTTTGGAATGATCACTGGCTTGAATTCAGCCCAGTGACTGAAAGTCCTTAACATTTTATGGTTGTTTGGCCTGTCTGTGAAATAGGCTTGGTAATCTCTGACCAACCCCTACTGCATTGATGGCTGCTCATGAAAAACCACTACCATGATTGGCATCCTTGTTACCATTCACAACACCAGCCAAGCACGGATCAAAAGAGCAAGGATGCTGAAGTATCTTCTCACCATAGAGCTGGTTCAAGAATGAGGTAAAACTTTCATTGCCCATGCTGTACCTGCTCTGTGAACAAACAGGGGGCTGCACCCAGACCTAGCTTTTACAAACTCTTATTTTGTGGCATTATGGTAACATGATAGAAAGACTTATACACCACAAATTCCTTATACTTTGCACCATGTTATTACTAACAAATTTATTTGGGCATAAGTTTTCGTGGGCTAAAACCCACTTCATCAGATGCATCTGATGAAGTGGGTTTTAGCCCATGAACGCTTATGCCCAAATAAATGCATTAGTCTCTAAGGTGCCACAAGGACTGTTGTTTTTGCTGATACAGGCTAACACAGCTACCCCTCTGAAACATGTTATTACTGTGACTTAGTGCTGCTCTTCTCCCTTTGGGCTACTACTCTATGGAGTTGATGGAGAGCAGAATTATGACATCAGGGATGAATCAACCAAACTGCAGCCTCCCTTCTTCTCTCCTCCCACCTACTCCTGCCCCAGTACTGGGAGTGGCTTCAGTGAGAGTTTTGTCTGCATGACGAGTGCAGGGGTTGGCCCCAAGATTTATCCCTCCTTGAGCCGCTGAGGGTAAGAAGTGTAAATACACTATATTGCTGCTTTGTTTACTGAGTTTCCCATGTTTAATCTGAAAACCCCAAGTTTTTATTTCCCCTCAGTGGGTTGCTGGTTTTCCATGGACAACATCCAGCTCAAAGCTGAGGGGAAGAGAGAAGAGAATTTCCTCTGGGATTTTTGACAGCCTTGAGAATTTACAAGAGATGCATACAAATACAAGGCAAGTTGCTAGCGGCCATCCAAGTGCTTCATATGGCTGTTAGATACGTGGACACAGGAGCTGATTTCCCAAAGCAGGAGGCAACGTGACCGGCCAACAGACAAAGGAGCAAGAAGAAACCTTCCATTTGCCCCTGTTATTTTATATTTACAGCATATTAGCATGTTGGGGGTGAAAAGGCTAGGAAAGCAAATGGAGAAAAGGAGAGGGGGAAGATATATTTGGGGGGTGAAGTAAGGGTAATAGGACTGCATAGGAGAAGGGGAAGGGCCCTGTAGGTACTTATGGCTGGAGAAAGTGTGGGTTATGGGTACAGTCAGAAAGGGGGCGGTGAGGGCTTGCTCCAAAGCCCAGTGAAGTCAATAGGAGTCTTTGCACTGACTCCAATGAATTTTGGCTCAGAGCCCTAGGGTGTATGTGTTTTAGCAGGTGTCTGCTGGGCCATCACATCTGCTGAAGGAAAACAAAACAAAAAACAGGCACCACCAATAAGCCTCCAAAGAAAGCCCTTTGATGCCGTGCCCCCAGCTGGCACCGCTTCTGCTGGCGTTCCCATACCAGTCCTTCGAGTTGGCCGTGCTTCCTGCTCTCAGGCTGGGAACAGACGAAAGCATAATCGTGATCATGTAAAAAAAATACATCGGCATCAGAGCATCTAAGCGGCACCATGTTTGCCTTTGAGAAGGGGGACCAGAGCGGTTTGCTGGCCTCCATCCGGCATCCGAAGAAGTGGGATGTAGCCCAGGAAAGCTTATGCTCAAATAAATTTGTTAGACTCTAAGGTGCCACAAGTACTCCTGTTCTTTTTGCGGATACAGACTAACACGGCTGCTACTCTGAAACCTGTCATCTAGCAGGTCTACTTCTCCCGCTTCAACCCCCCGACTCCCTCCCCGCCTTTGAAAGGCAGCGGGGGAGGGGCTCGCCCTCTGCTGTGACTTCAGAGCCGCGCTCCCAGCTCAGGCTCCCCGGCCCTGCACCTCGCCGCCGCACGCGCTGAGCAAGCGTCGCTCCCCGGCCGCTGGGGCAGGTACCCCCCTCGCCCCGCCGCCAGCGCCTCTCCGGGAGGAGGAGCGAGGCGGCTCCGAAGGACTGATCCGCACCGTCCCAGAAGGGCGGGACTTGCGCGTGGATCTAGTCAATGGCAAAGAGCCCCCTTCCCCCTTCCCCTCCCCCTGCGAGCTCGTTTCGTCACCAGCACCCAGGGCCATCTAAACCGAGCCGCTAACTCCGCGCTCGAGCCCGATTCCTGCCCCCTGGGCGCAGGTTTCAGCGGTGGGCGCCCACGCTCGGCTTTCCTCCGGAGACTCGCCCTCGGCCCGTGTGTGCTGGCGGCTGCTTTGCAAAGCCGAGCGCAGAAAGGAGTCACCCAAATACAACCCTGTCCGCCGTTCGGCCTCTGCCCAGCGCTCGAGATTTTGCAGCAAGCGGGCCGCGGCTTGAGAGGGGGTTTGAGGCACTGCCACAGCAGGGAACTGGGTGGATGTCGTGGCGTTCAGACTAGATAAACCCCCTGGCGCTAGTTTCTATTGAGCAGCTAGTTCCTTGGCCCGCACGAATGCGGTTATCGCGACAAGTCACGATCGGGCCCAGAGTCTCTGGGAAACGAACATGCTTCATTTCCAGATCTGGGTCCTTCCTGGTGCGAGGCAGCAGATAACTTTCCTAGACCGAGCCCTTCACAGAGGGTCTGCGCCTCTCCGCTGGTTGTCTGCCAACACTTTGCAGCTTCAGCGGCTACCGCTCCGCATGCAAGGGTTGCTAGTCTAATCCGGATTACATTACTCACACCGATACCACACCCACCTTCGCTCTCCCATACACACGTACACAGGAGAATCACCATGGAGACTAGCCCTTGTAACAGCCTCTGCCCGAGCTTTGTATTGAATCAGGTGGCTAGTACTTGCAAAAAGAAGGGATCATCTTTTCTAGAGAGCTCGGTGTCTTCTAAACAGCTGCTAAAGCCACGCCAGCGTCTGTGCCTATCGACCCGTCCCCGCCCCCTCTCCTATAGCCCGCACGGATAATGACAGCCTAGCCCTGCGGTTCCCCTTGGGACGCGGATTCAACCCTTCTGCCGTCTACACAGCCACGGCCAGGCGGTCACACGCCTCCGAGCCCCAGCGGAGCTTGGCACGTTCAAAACCTCCGGGCTATTTTGTGAAGCGAGGGAATAAGCTCAGCTGGGGCGCAGTGAAATTGCAATTTCTTCTCCCACAGCCCGGCCACGCCGAGCGCAAACCCCACCTTCAGCCCAGATTTATGACACCAAGCAGACTCCTCCCCCACGCGGCTCACTTAACCCTTCCTGCGCTCCCCCGGGGACCCTCCACCGCGCCGCTTTCCCCGGCTCCGAGGTGGGCTTGTGGTTTTTAAAGCCTCCCTGCGGGAGCACGCGCCGCTCCTTAACAAAAAGGTCCCAGGGACCGGGCAGCTCAGAGGCGATCGCGACTCCCAATCGCCTAGAGTCTGCTCCTGCACCACCGGGACATAAGCGGAGCCAAGTGCGTTCAATCAGCTTTAAGGTACATTCTAGGTTGGGCATACACGATACTTAAACCAAATGATAACACGGCGCGCATCACCCTGGAAACCGAGAGGAGGAATATAGAAAAATGAAGGGGGGAGGAAATCCAAACGAAGGATAACCTGTCCGCTTGGTCATTGGCTATTAAAGCAACGTCAAACATGAGCCAGCCCAAGTACTATTTTGTTTCTTTCAAAAATTGCACGTAACCCATGGAACCCCCAGCCTGTCAAAGGTAAAGTAAGGGTTAATCACGCAAGGGGTTAGTAAGCAAGACTCCTGATGATGAAAGTCCCTCTGGCTGAGTTTGAAAGGAGATTCGTTCAGACAAATTTTGATCGCCCGTCCGGAGCGCTTGAAACCAAGCCTGAAAGTTTCTGTACCTTCCCCAGGCGAGGTTCTAGCAGTGGAAAACTTCCTACCTAGAGATCCTTTAGTTGTGCTTCTTGAAGCAGAAACACACAAACACTGAACATTGCAGCTAGCCCTTAGGAAAGATCTACAAAGAAATATTTGAAGGAATATAGAGAGCGCGCGCGAGAGAGCATAGAATTGGGAGGACTCTACCTTGATCCATAGACCTCATGATGTGGTGGTAATGTACCAGCCTGCAGGCAGCTTCTCTCTGCATTAGGATTTTTTTTTAATTACTCAGTGGCAGTGGGGGAAAAAAAAATCTTCTTTAACCATATTCAACCCAGGCTGCCCGAAGAGAGGCACTCCCCGTTGCTCGCCTCCCCTTGGTGGCTTTGGGGGTGCAAAGAGGGATCCGAACCGGGCTGAGTGTGTTCCTGAAGTGAAGTCAGTTCTCTGCTCTGAGATGTGGGTTACTAGAGAGGGAAAGGCCACTTCCTTCCCTGCTCCGAGTGTTTATAGTCTTTGAATGCTGTAAAATAACGGGATTCCCTCACTGTTTCCTCCTGTTTATCCCAGTGCCATGGAAACCCCTGGATCGCCTCCATCTCCCAAACTGAGGGCTTTCCTGCAAACTTCACACTCAGGAATCCATGACGTCTCCCAGCTCCGGGCCAAGGCAGCTCTGTGGCTTTTCTCAGTCTGCAGCACAAGCACTTAATTGTTGAGCCGAAAGTTACCGAGCGCGAGAGAAATATGGATGATGTTACAAATCCCAGTGTGTGTGTTTTTAACCAAAACTTGCAGGCACTGCAAAAGCTTTCAAAGCAACGGGGCTTCTGTGCAGCTTTCTCTCGTCCCAGCAGAGAAGCTCAAGCTGCTGTTTTTTACCTTTGCATAAAAACATTCAGAAAACTCAGATCCCCGTCGCTGATTTAAAGTCTTTGAAATTTGCCAGCGCCCTAATAATATCCATCTTGTTATTGGCACCGGCTTTAGCTCCTCATTGGCACTGACTCGATCCTTCAGTCAATAAATATGGCTAGTGTCATTTCACAAATCTCTCTCTGTCTCTATTTTTAGATCTGTGTGTGTGTGTTTGTGTGTGTGGGTGGGTGGGTGGGCGGGGGAGGGGGGAGCAGGCCCATGGCTTTCCATTGATACACGTGGATCTTAGCAAGAATGAAATAGCCAAGGAAGCTTCTGAAACCAAGACAACCCCTGTGTGTTTACACGGACTATGTATAAACAGGAAAATAAAGTCAAAGAAAACAGGAAAATAAAGCCCAAGATGTCATGACCTTGGTGGTGGCTTACAATGTATAGTTTTCACTGTTTTGTTAACAGGCTTCCCTTGGTTCTTTAATGGGAATTAGAGCCTACACTCAGATGGCAATTTTTTTCCATAAGAGATCAAGAGTTCAGAAATCAAAAGTGCTTAATTTGCACGTTGCTCTCCCGGTGTTTGTCTCTAATCCAATCAAGCACTGAAATTTACATTAAATACAAGTTGCTGCCGAGGTCAGATAGAATCGTGGGTAGCAATAGAGAGTGAGTCACTTTCTTTGCAGATGGACTTGGACTTCACTAGCCTGGAGGGCTGGCTGGCATCGGCGGGACATTTCCATTTTTCACTCTCTCAGTCCCACATGGACTCGAAGGAGGTGTCACAATCAAACTTTCTGCTGCTCTGGTTTGTTGTCTTGCAGGCTAGCAACTGCCGGCAGGCCAGGGAAACAAGCGCACCTCACTTTCCTAGCCTTTGTCATTTTTGGACCCGCACAGGCGGAAATACATTGTACCTTCCTCAGCCCCATTAATGTCTGTTATGTAACCGTGCGACTTCCACTGAACTCTCAAAGCACTTAGCAGTGAGCATGAGTCTGGTCCACCATCGGGGAATCCATCTTAACTTCATTCAATTAAGGTGCACCAACTTTTTAGATTCAGAAGGTTAGTACTGGATGTTCTACAGCTGCTTGAGAATTAAGGCTGTGTCCCCACACCGAAGACCTGGGGACTTCCCATTGATTCCTTTAATTCTCCACACATTCATTTCGCTTTTTCTGCTTGTCATTTGCTCAGTTTCAAGTCACTTACTCAGTGCCCTGAATGCAACTATGAACCGAGCCACTGACACGGTCACTGTTTTAATAAAGGACTGAAAGAGAAAGGGGGAAACACTGTTCTCAGGGAAGCCAGGAAGAAATAAAACGCCATCCCGGCAACAAACGGCATTTGTTGTGGGTCCCTTGTCCCACACCAACTCAATAATTCTAGACAGAATGAAGTAAAACTATTTTTTGAGCACAAATCCTTTTCAAAAATGGTAGTATCGACTTCATCATTTGGGCAGGGCCTATGCGACCATCGAAGTACCCCTAGTAACAAATACTTGACTCAGAATCACATATACTTCCCTATTGACCCCATTTGCCCTAAGATAATTTTCTGCTCCTTTTGATGGATTTGTTTTTAATTGTGTTTTTCTTAGAATCCTTAACACGAAGCTTCAAGACAATCTCTTGTTTTCCAAGTGAGGTCAGTGCTTGATCCACTTACCACATTCATTGCCCCTTGAATTAAATGCTGGTGTGTTGGCCCTTTTTGTTTGTGTGCGTTGATTTTTATTTCTTTGTATGCAAGCTGATAATAACTGTGCTCTGTCTTCCAAGAAGGGCAATGCAACTGCCTTAAACCCAGACCCCAACTCTCTTCATAGCACTTTGGGCTGGATCCCACCATTACTAACAATGAGACATCTCAACAGAGAGGAGGTGAGTGTCTATCATTAGTATTGAGGTGAGGGTAAGAGGTTGATGAAAGTGACCAGCTGGAGGAGGGGGTGAAAAGGGGATCAGAGGGGAGCAGTGGAGTACATGTGACCAGAGAGAGAGGAACAGCTGGGGTGTATGAGGGCAGGCCTGCCAGAGGGTATCCCAGAGTGAATGGAGAATGGGCTGCTGCCCCGGTGGAAAGCTTCACCTCATCCTTGACCACACACTGCATAATAATCTGGGGAGCAGTCACAGCTCAGTGGTTATGGCACATAGGTTGGCTTCCCCAGGCTGGACAGTCTAAAAATACAAATGTCTTTCTTTTAATAGCTCAGTTTGATGGGCTCCAGCTTGTTCACAAGACGGAGTTTTCCTAAAATATCTCCTTGTACCAGTTTTTTCCAACTTAAAAATGCTGAATCCTGCTACCAAAATTAAACTCAGTGAAAAAAAAAAAAGGCAGAAGAGTGGGCCTGGCGGGCAGTCTCTGTAATGCTAGCATTCCCCACACCAGCATCTGACACAACTGTAAGATTTCCAAGGCTTTTGGAGAGTTCAGCGAGAGAATTGTGTCCTCCATTGGCTCCAACTCCACAGCTGAGTTAAACTTTCCTGATGGAACCTTTTCTCCATCTGGCTTCTGCTACTAGAGATTTGTGAGTGACTGTGGAGAAGGGGAGGATAGTTCAGATGTTATATAACTGTACAAACTCGAAGTGGGGGTAGAGACTTTCCCTAGAAACGAGAGATTTTTATATTTATAGTTACTTTCAACTTCCTTTTCAAAGGAAGGCCAAATACCTCCCTCTTTCCTTTGCTTTCTAATTTTGGGATCACTAAGGGATTCTATTTTTGTAGGAAAGGAGACAATAACTATTTATTCCTCTTCATTAGAATATTCCCTCTTCTTTTGAGCAGCACCTTCAAGACCAAATTCTTTCCCCTCCACTTCTCCCATCTTAACATGGTTCATCCCCAGAGATCTGCAAACCTAGGACAGAATTTTGAAAAGTGACTCGTGATTGTAGAGGACACCTTAGAGTGGCCTGATTTGCATAGTGCTTTAAAGACAAGACCCTTGAAACATCTGAATTTGGGCTTCCCTAAACTGAAGCACTCAATCACCAATGTTTGTGAAAACCTTGGCTGCAGCTGCTCAGTTGTGGCTGTGTTACTACATTATTTATCACTAATTATCCTGAGCAGAATTTGTTCCTTAATTTCAATTGGGATTAATATTTTCAGCCAATTAAATGTAACTAGAAGGCACTCTTGGGAGAGCAGGGCAACTCTCCTCTCATAACTGCATTGAAATCAATCTTAGCTATTAAGGGATAAACTGCTGTGTAAAATCACCCTGCCTTACAAGTAATAGCCCATATTATAATCAACACAACATCATACATCTTCCCTACAAGTTGTATCTTGAAACTCCTGTTGGAAAGTTAAGCAGAGAAGGAGAACAATGAAAAAGTTACAGCATAGGCAAGGGAGAAAGAAGCTTTCAGGTAAAGTCTGAAATAAGCCAGAAAAGAGGCAGAAGGGTCCAAGAAGGATATTTTAGAGATCAGCAACTGCAGAGGAGATGGCTCTCACAGCAACAGTCTCATCTCATCTCTGCCACCACACCAGTTAGAGCAGAGCATGTTTCAGACACAGTGAAACAACATGTAAAGTAGAATGACAGGCACTCAGATATCAGGGAATAAGGACCTACATAAAACAGAAGAGACTAATAATTTCAATGTGCAGTGATATACAGCTTGCAACTGTGGTTACAGGGCAAAATTTAGCCCTCTGAGCAGCAACTAAGGAAGCTGTCAATGCAGTGGATGGATGATTGTGGAGCAGGTACCCAAGGGGACTCTGCGTCCTACAGAGCTTGGTTTAACACAAGTTCTGTACAGCTCAGCACATAGAAAGACTGTGGGAAGGATGGGTTTGACCATTAGGACTGTATTTAGGTAGATCCAGTGCCATAAATGTTGCACTTGTTGTCCAAGTGAGTCTTAGCCCAAGTGACTCCAGAGACTGGAATAACAGCTACAAAGAGGCTGTGGGGCTGCCTTGCTCAATGCCTGGGGAGTGGGTGAAGATTCCAGCCCACAAGCCTGACATTGGTTCCCCACACAAAGTCCATTCCCTTGAGCTATGTGCCAGGAGTACATGAGCATGTGTAGATGTACCCCTAGAGTGTGAAATTTATGTCCCTGTAAGAGGGTTCCACTGTACATGTTATTCTGCATGATCTATTTATGTTTTGATCTTATTCTCTAGAGGCTTTGTGTGTATAGATCATTGTTGCTTGCAGTTATTTTCTGGGTAAGGAATTTTCTTTTCTGTTTTCTATAGGTTCTTATACCACACTCATCCACCTAGGGTCTGAGGGCCTTCCAGTAGTGCGTTCCGCAATGTGACTAATACCTGTCAGCTGCTGTTTGTTCTCTCGTCCTCCCCCTGGCAGAGAAGCCTGTAGCGGAGTGTCTGTTCTGGTAAGGTTGTAGAGGTTTTTTATTTGTTTTAAATATGCATGTTACTGTGTATTTGTGCTAGAGAAGGCAAAGTGAAAGGCCTTGCAATGAGGACAGGGAGATTTGTGACTAAGGCTTGTTATACCCTGTCCCGTTCTTCCCCCTCTTTCCCCCCGCCAATGAATGTGCTAAGTAAACAGGGTTGAATTTACAAAACTGCTCAATGGGAAAGCCTCCACAGTAGAAACCAGCGAGATCTGCATCATTACATTTGCAATACAAACGAAAGGCCATTTTTTTCTCATGCTCTCCAAGACATCATGGCTTCCTGAGGATGTGCTCTCAAGCCACTGCGGCAACTGCTCTGGGTTTATCATAATAGTCTTCATGGAGACGTCTCTGTTTTCCATTTGTAAAAGTATTTCAGGCTCACAGTAACAATAGGTATTTCTGACAAAAGATCATCATCCTTCCAAAGTAAATAATCCTCACTGAACCTGCCATCACATGCAATGCAGCACAGATAGTAAATTGAAATTGGTTAAGGCATTTCTAAAGTACCTAGTAGTGTCTAAGCACTGATTTGTACGTGAAGGCCAGGTTTACACTAGGAGAACTTTACTGGTATAGGAATACTGATATACCATACTGGCAAGGCACTCTTCATATGAAAGCAGCTAGACTGGCAAAGCTGATTTGTACCTGTATAGTAAAACCACCCGCCATGAGTGAAACAAGCTATTGTATATCAGTACAAGAGTAGTTTTGCCAGTATAGCTGCTTTCACACTAGGAACTTCTGCTGTCACAGCT